CACTTCATCAGCGATAAACTCAGAAAGGTCAGCAAAGTTTGATGCATTGTTGGGATTTTCAAAAAGAGTATTCTAGTTATAATCAATCATCATATAGCATAAAGTGTCAAATGAATTGCGTATATTCTTATGAGGTCTGCGAGTGGTGTGCACAGGAGGGGAGAAGAAAGACCCCAGCCTGCCCTTTTAGTGCCCTTGTCGAATGGAAACCACTCTTTTTCATTTTCTTCTCACTTTTTGCCTCAATTAAACATCTCCTACAGAAGTGTCTGTGCGCCGCTGGTCTGGGGAGTGCAAATATGCTGAGAGGTCCAGAGATCAGATCAACTGGGTAACTGTTCCTGCACTGGGATCACATGACTCTGACAGAGTGAATCATGGGAGGGAATCTAAGACCCCTTCTCCAAGGTGTATCTTGGGATTACGTACTGTCGCCCTGGCACTGAGGGAGTCTAACGCGGCGAATTACAAATCAGTGCTGCCGTTTCTTCACTAATGATGCAAATTAAAACAGAGAGGAGGCAAAGATGTCTCAGAGCCGTCCCTCACGCTCATTCATCAAATTCATCATCTTGCATTAAAATCATGTCATTTCATCCTCTAAAAAGGGACCTGAGGCCTGGATGAATGCAACCCACCTCAGATAAGAGACAGTAACATATAGCTACATTATTATGCAACAGCATGTCCGCGCTGTGAAGGGAACAAAGGGCAAACACATTACCATTGGTAATGTGATTCCAGTCATTTTTTTTGTTTCACCGTTAGCTTGATGTGTAACTCAGGAACATACATACACAACCACCACAGAGTTTAGTGGAGAACATCAGGAAATACCAAAGTCTTTACTGGTCCTCAAGGTAAAAAGGTCTTGCACTTGGAAGGATTTCAAATCTCATCTGGACAATGATAGGCGACGCTTACATACAGCCTTCAATGCCAATCACTGCCCCTGAATAGTTTTCGTATCTCAGCAAACATCAGGTAGTAGGTGAGATCAATGGCCCCGTCTGGCCGCTGCACTACTGGGCTGCTTCGTTAAAGCGCAAAATGAGATTAAACAAGAATAGATTCAATTAGGCGGCACCCTTAAGATCTCTCCTCGCCCACACAGAGGGACATTACATTAGGTTGAGTGGATAAATATCACATTACTGAATATAACTTTATAACACGTGAATCGGATGATGACCAGTCTTTTGGTCGGACGGAAATATCGAAGATTTATTGCACATTTTTAAAGCTTTTAAAAAGCAGCGTCGGAGTGCGTGAGGATTACTGTTAATCCGTTAATGCGAATAAATGTTCAGAATTAGTCACTGGGCAAAAATGAGCACGTTAATTAGCCCCAAGACGAATTCATCTGTCACATTTGCAGGCATGATTATTCAATTTAGATGACATTTACAAGAGATTGGGATAATTCATTCCATATTTTATCCAAGCATTTGACTTCATTCTCATATCAACTTAAGAACTTAGTGTATTTTTCAAGAATTCAAGGATTTCTTATAACCAAACATTTGAATTGTGTAAGTGTAAAAACAAAAACATATGACAGCAGGAGACTATTTTTCCACCAACGAGAGAAGAAGGGATTTCTGATGTGTGTGTGGATGTATGTATTAAACCCAGCATGTGTCTAATAGGTCAGCTGAGCCAATAAGGTTGTTGATAACTCTATGTAATGGGTATTTTTAGGTGATGGCTAGCATAAGATTGTTAGGCAGCCAGTCATTCACTTAGCAGCTGAACTCTTAAAGTGTGTGAAACAGAAGAGCACTTGAGTCATGGCGGTCAACATTTTTGGTCTGATTGAGATGTTCCATTTACTTTTAATATCTCAATACATCGTAAACAGAAAAAGTAGCCAAACTACAACATGTGGATTGCATGAAATACTGCGCACCAGCATACGTCTATCAACTGCAACATAGCCAGGTGCAATGAGAGTTCATCTTTAAACAGCCATTGATCCCCCCCTTCTAAAGATCACTACTTTTTGTAGATGGAGGAAGACTTCTCTCTCATCTGGGTAAGGCAGAAATCAATACGCTTTGAGAGTTGATGGAAACATCTACTTGTGTCCCTAACTGGCCTGTTCGCCTCGTCTCTTAAAATCAGTCCGACAAGCAAGCTCTTCTTATTTCTAGGATTACAGCTGCTTTGGAGGGAAAGAATATCGCCCGAACAAGAGGCGGCCAAATCTCATCACTCTGTCCTTTCAGATCTCATTCCAGCTGACACCCTTCGCTAGATGCAATATCCAACACCATATCTGCCAACTCCTATCAAAGAAAATTCCTGCTCCAAAGCGAGCCATGAATCATTTAGCTAGCAATCGACAAGAGCTGCTTGGTGATAAATATAAACCAATGTCAAAATGTACAATTCAGAAACGCATACACACGCACACGCGGACACCGTTTCTAATGTCCGTATCAGATTCGGCATCGCTGTGTTGACAAACACTTAACTACGGCGTCAAGTGATGAGCAGCTTTTTCCACTGAAATTTTAAGGATAGACTACAGAACAGGTGGCGCGAGGGTTTCCTTTCATACTCATTACATTGCAAAATGATGCACTGGCTATATTTATGGGCTGATATCAGCTCCTTAAGCTAGATTTTACATGCCGAGGAGAGCAATGGAGTACGGTGACCCGCTCCCCTGGGAGGTTGAGAGCTGAATACTAAAGAGAGGGGCTTGCTGGGCTGTGCGAGGTTTTTTCAAGGCCTATTATATCACCTTACATTCAAAAGATTGACAGGTGCATAAGGGGGGGGGGGGCGAGTAACTCTAAAGACAGAAAAAAACAAAACAAAGTGTGCCACGTAAGAAGAAAGAGAAGGCGCAAAAGGGATATTTCAAGAAGGATGGCAAGAGGAAGTGTTCAAACTGACGGGAGAAAAGAGAGAGACAGAAAGAAAGCAAGAGAAGAAGGAAGGAGGGAGGGAGCCGAGCAAGATGAAAAGTATTTTTAGGAAGATGTTTATTTGTAGGTCTGTGAAACTAATCCGGGGTGTATATCTAACCAGCCTTGCCATCTCTCTCTCTCTCTCTGTTACCATCTGTTGAGGTCTCTCAGCCTGTCACAGCGCTCTCGCTCTATAGGTAGGGGACATTTTGCAGTGACAGAACAGTTCTGCACAAGTGGCATCTGAACATGCCCATCAAAAATGCTGATACTGTGCTGCTCTATGCTGTAATGCGCCACAATAGTGCAGATTATGTGTTATTAGATTAGGCTGGATTAGAGTAGATTAGTTTAGAGTAGATTGGATTAGATTATCCCTAGGGAGAAATTGTCTTGTAGCGGCAAGAGCACAAAATTAGATTACAACAAAGAAAAAAGGATATAAATTGGAATAGATGCATTAATACATTAGAATACTTTTTGCATTGAAGGATATTAAATTTTAAAAAAAGAGTGGTGACCTATTGAGCGACTAACAGCAGAATAACAGCCTTTTTTGAGTTTAAAAAGCCAAACAACTTCACTGTTGTTTCTTTACTTGCTAAAAGACTGCACATGTGTATAATAAAACACAAAATATTACAGAATAAAGACTTTTTTTAACATCTTCCAAGTTCTAACTCTCGTTCAGCCAACAAAAAGGAAGTGACTCTTTCTACAGGTAAATTAATCACTATAAATCTGAATTCAAATTATTGTATATTATTATTGTATTGTTATATTTTATTCACAAATAAATCCTATTTTTAATTGACCCTATTATTTAAAATGTTTTTAGTAACAAATATTTGTTTCACTGTGTTGCAGACTGAATACTTTTTGGTTTCAGCTGTATGGGGAGCTTTTAAAAGACAGAGAAATGTCTTTAATCAACTTGTTAATTTGTGCAAGCTCTATGTGTAATGTTAATCAATTGTGTCTGAGTTGCAGCACTCTTTCACTATACCAGGGCCTAAAATACTACCTGTGCTAACCTTCCTAAAAGAAAGTTTGATTCTCAGAAAAAGTTATAACTTAATGGTACTTCTAAACCACAAGAAACTGTGTACCTGAGAGCTATTTTCAGCTTGTGCTGCAGCATTTCCGCAGTGGAGGACGGCAAACCGTGGTCACCTCTTTAAAAATGCCCATCCAACATGGCGACCAACCATGGGGAAGCAACCAGTTAAACATATTTTTCCGCTTTACTGAAACACTCTCAGGACAACCTGTGTGTCAGGTGAACATTCAGACTAATAATAAAACTGTATTAACCTTTACAAGCGTTGTTTCTGTCCCAGTTTTGCGGCGGCAGACGTCACCTTTGTCAGCTCATTAAACGCACCTGTCCAGCTCGTCCTCCACGCGGCAAGGCCCGCTGGGTCGCCTAGGCAACGGCTGGCCCGGGCTAGTAGTGTGGCTGTCACAATCAGGCTAAAGAAGTCTATTTGTACGAATACACATTTTTTTATTGTCGTTATTTGTATTTATAAACTCTTTATATCAGTATTTATTAATGAAGTGGGACAAATGCCGCTTTTTGGTGTTGCTAATCACTCATGTCAGTATAAAATATATAGCTATAAATCAAAGAAGGTGACTTCACCCTGGCCTAAATTTGCTCCAGGTTGGCTTAATGTTGTCAAAACCGTGCTAAACGTGTGTGTATTTTCTAAGTTATGATTCAAATGTAGCTTAGACGATAGACTGGGGAGGGTGGTATTATATTTAGACAGTCTTCGCAAGGCAATCGGGGGTAACTGAAAGACAACACTGAGAAAGTTCCACGGCCCAAAATATCTGCCCACACAGCTTCCAGCAGGACTGAAGTGCCAGGTGCGAGGACAGCCAAGGCGCAGATGTCCGTTTTACATGTAGGGCTGTTTTAGACAATCACAGGGGGGCTAATAATCCCGAAACCATAACATGTGTCATTTAAAATGCATTAAAAAGTCACTGGTTGATTGAGTGATGCATGTGCGTAATTACGCACGGCGGCACAAGCCTAACCCGCAGCCCAGAGCCTCCAGATCCAAAACCTACCTTCCTCTGCTGCTTCTCCCAGGCAGGGTCCAGCAGCAGGTCCCTGTCCCAGTCATCCTCTTGGGTCATGTACGCTTCTTCATGGTGGATCGTGTAGGAGTTGCTGTATGTCATTTGGGTTTCGACAGCTGTCATCGTGCCGCCTCTGTCAGGACTCTCGCGTCCCCCTCAGCTTATAGTAAGAAAAAATAAATCAGCAACACAAACGACGACGATGCCGTGAGGGCAAGAACCTCCTTGAGACGAGGGGTCTCGCTTTCGGGGGGGAGAGACTGTTAGGGGCTGCAGAGACCAGACTCCACTGGTGCGAGGTGCCTGTGCGGAGGTGGTGCTCCCACTACCAGAAGACCCTGCTGGCCGGTGCTCCTTTCCTGGTCAAAAGTGGCACACGTGACCGCACCCCAATAAGTATGGGAACTGACAGCTTGGGTATCGGGTTCTGACCCTAAAAAGGTGTAAAGGGCGGGGTAGTCTCCCGCGGGCAGGGTTGACGGGCTTGTGAGTGGTGTGGAGGGATGTCATTTACGCCCCCTCGCACCAGAGAGGTTTTTATGGCCTCTGCAATGCACCTGTTGCTGTTGGTGACACTCAATGGCAAACCCAGACCTCTGTAGTTTCAGCCCTACCTCTCCCAGAAAAAAAAGGTCTGAATGTCCAATTCCATTACTAAAAACTTTAAGAAATGTTGGAGTTCCGCCCTTTGAATGCAGCTCTCTTTCACTGCAGGCCAAGTAGCCCTGGGCTAAGTACTGCAGAGATTGACAGCTACTAAAACCGTCTTATTCCACACTGCTGAAAATGAGGCTGCAGGTGAGTGCACAGTTTATACTGTTTATTATATATCATAAACTTCACTACAGTATATCAAACTGTTTATCAAGAAATATTCATGGCATTCTGTATTATCTCAATTCAATCAGAAAAAAGAGATTCAGGCAATTTTATGAGAAAAACAAGAATTTATTCATGATTTGCATGCAGACTGAAAATGCCTCCGAACGTTTTAAGAAATACAGATTAAAAGGCATATATATGCATACACAACCTCACAATATAATTCATGTTTATATCAGGATTTGTCATTCACAGTAAACATATTGATGCAAAGATTTCATCTAACATTCATCAACTAAACCCCCCCTCTCCACCCCAATCCTGTTTGACTTTGTGCTGGAACAAATTTCCTAGAAATGAGCAGATCCAGATTCCTATCCTCTCGAGGTGACACATTATTCAGTCACCCTTGATGTGTCTTTGGAATCTAGAATGACTTGTATTATAATTAATCAGACATTTAAGTGTAACTACACTCGGCTTGGTCCATTAACCTACTTGAGGAGGTTTAGCTACTGTGTGACTATTGTGGTTACCATTAGGTATGTTACTGTGCTACTACTGAGCTGGGGGCATTGGATTGGATGGTAAACATAATGCAACTATGTGAGTTTTACAATTAAGTTGGACCACTGAAAAAGACAGAGTTGGCCTCTGATGGCTACTAAACATGGAGAAGGGAGGACAAAATAACATGAACGCTTTACAATGTAATGCAAGACAATACATCACCGCCAATGCTTATACAAAATCTCAACAGAAATTAAACATATTGAGCTTCTTAATAAATTCTGTATTGAACTGCATTACATTCTGCAGGTGTTTATGTTGTGTCCACGAGGTAATGGCTGAGGTATGACTCCACCGCTCAAGAAAGGATGAGCAGCATTAGAGTCTGATATATGTAATTCACATCTGTGCTAGAAGAGCTAGAATAGTCGTGGTCACATTGGTTACTGAATCTCATTACTGCAAACTCAAAGGCATTATGGTCTATGGGTTGTGCTCAAACTAAACTGGGGTGTGTTCCAGATGGGCACACACTTGCGCGTCTCAGCTGGTACCTGCTGCAGGAGAACAGATGCAACCTGTGGGATCCCATCAAAAACAACAAAGTACAGAGATGTGCGCACAAAGAGCATCTGGATTACAGTTCTTCAGCTGTCCAAACACAGCACAGAAGGCATGGGGGGGGGAGAGTGGGTGAGGAAGTGGAAGTAAGGAGGAGGCTGCAACGGGCTTTGGCTGTCAGTACGCTGCGACTGTGAATTCAGAGCAAGGGGGGGGGGGGGGTTTAAAACCCTTCCTCCCCGCTCGTAACTCCTCTCTGCTGCAGTGGCAGTGCCATCGGTCGGGGGTGGGGGTGGGTGGGGTGCGGGCTAGGACCCCCTCACAAGACTGAGTCTGTTCTCGCATCAGCCATACAAAACTGTGCCCTTCTGTTCCAGCTGGTGTCTGAACTAGTGAATACTAGGGAAGTTTGATAGGTGGTGTGCTGTGTGTGTGTGTGTGTGTGTGTGGTGTTTAAACGAAAGGAGAGGAGATGGATGTGTAAGGAACTTCTGGAGGTGTTTAATTGATTGGTGAAGCTTGGCACATTGCGGACACACCCCCCCCTTCCCCTTCCCCCTGCCCGCTGGTCATCTCACCGCCGTATTCGCCGCCCTCACCCACCCTTCCCTCCTCCCTCCCCTCCCTTCCACCACGTCCTCTTCACCTCTCCTCCTCATCCCATCCTACTGTCCCTATGCGCCTCTCCTCTCCGCCGTTCACACACACACTGGCTTTTTCCGCCGCCACCGCCGTCGCACCTTGGATCTTGGGTCGTGGTCTGGCTCGGACTCAACTTCCCCAGAACACCCACCTGACCAAACCTCCCCACCCTCCTTTGTTACCAAGAGGCCTGGCGTGCAATGGACAGCTGTTTGTGTTGGCCCGCCGCGGCTCAGATACATGACACAGAGAGACTTCAATGTTGGACAAGTCGCTTTGCTAAACACTGTTGAATGCTGGTTTGCTCCACATGGCTGTGGAAAGGGATCGTACTCCTGTTTCCAAAAGAACTTAGTTCATACATATATTAAATCAACTCAATATTGGAACCTCAAACCATTTTCGTACCTTTGGGTACCCTCACAGCCTGTGTGCCAATCAGAAACATCCTATAAGATAGGGCCTAGGTATTGAGGCCAGTCTGACCTGTAGATTCTCATCAATCTTCAGTTCCTATAACTTTCCTGGTACGGAGCTCTCTTTCTCTCAATCTGGGATCAGCTGAATGGCTGGATATGTGCTCTAGTGACCTGCTATGGGTTCACCTACCTTTAAGATTGTCCATGTGCTGAGATGGAGAGCTTTAGCGCACACAACCACACACACACACGACGATCACACACTCATAGGCTTTTAGTATGTCAAACGAGTTGTCTATGGCATTGCTCCGACAGCTGCGAGATGCGAGTCGAGACAAAGAGGGCGTTTGCCTTCTGTCTGCCTAACAAATCCAATGGAACATGGAAGGACGGAAAGGAGAGGGATTGAATGATAAGTTAATTATAAGGTGAGTTGGTAATGGAAGGATCCTTTGTCCAAAGCTTACCCCTAACCCTCACCTTCCCTGATCTTGGAGGACCTTTTATTAATTGCTCATCCGTAGACATAACTAG